TCCTTGTCACCAACTTGATGTTCATCTCCTTCTCCCCCTTGCTTCTATCACATGTGCTCTCTCTTGTCCCATTGTCAGGACATTAAACTGAGTCTTCAACTACCTTGTCATTTACAGGACCCTGTGTCTCACCTTCATGCCCATACAAGTGTAAGAGAATGGCAATCACCTCCTCACCCTATCACCATATCTGCTCCAATGGATTCTCCCTCATTAGCTAAGTTGGTCTCTCACTCATAATTCTAAACCCCTGTTCTGAGGCCCCAAAAACCCTGTTCCATGGCACCCTAGCTCCACTAGAATCCATATAATGCCTAACATCCAAACCTTCCCAGGCTTTGTAATTTCTCATCCTGACTCAAAGAAGACACCATGCCTCCATGTCCCCCTCCCTCCCCACCTCATAGCCACTTTTTCTTATTCACAATCCTTTGCTGGCCAGGTCTCCAAGCATTTCAGCTAAATACCCTGGAGGTCACAAGAAGCAGAAAAGAAAATAGAACCAGAAGAGAGATTTATTTCCAATTCCCTAGGTTCTGGTTGTGGACTCTCTAAGAACAGGCACATAGAGTTTGTGAAATCAGCAAAGAATGAGGAGACTGATGTCTGGCCTGAGCTCAAGGTGACAAAGGGCCCAAAATAGGGTTGTTAACTTCAGGATTGCACGTAGCTGACATGACAAAGATCCTGCATATTTACCTGAGTTCTTAAGTTATATGACTATATATATATATATATATATATATATATATATATATTTTTTTTTTTTTTTCCCTCTCTGTGATGTTTCCCTTGGAGGTGCAGTTAAAATTGAGGTGGAATGAATGGCTAGGCTGCTCTGCAGGTGCAGTCAGATTCTGGGACAAAGGCCACTCCAAGGAAACCTGGAGCACAGAATGATGTGGGAGGATAGGTCATCTATTTTGGAGGATAATCAAAAGTTAAAGAGGAGAAACCAAGATGGCAGCATAGGTAAACACCTAAACTGCTGCCTCTCACAACAATTTCAAAACTACAACTAAGAGACAAAACATCTATCACACAGAACCACAGGAAAGCTGGCTGAGTGGAAGTTCTACAACTAGGAAGAAATAGAAAAGAGCACTGAGATGTACACAAGCACTGAAAAGTTGAGATACAGAAACGCAAGAATTGGGCTGGTGGTAGGTATCTGGGTGTGCTGCTAATTTTAACCTGAAGGGAGACAAGCTCCTGATTATTGTGAACTCCACTTTCTGGGGAGACCCTGGGGATCCAAAGTCCTATGGGGAGAAGCTGTACTGTCTGCCATTGGGTTGGAAAATGAGGATTACTTTCTTGCAAAGGTGTGCCCAGCAATCACTGTTTACTGTGCTAAGGCGTGGGACATGGGGACTTGGAAATATGGAAACACAGAAATGGCAGACTGGCAGCCATTGCTGTTTGCCATGTCCTAGCCTATTGACTCCCTGAGACCCCAGCAGCACAATCTACAAACCCACCCAAACTCCACACAGTGGCTTTTGCTTATAAATGGCCTGCCCTATCACAGCTTAACCAAACAAACTGTAGCTCTGGTCAGATAGCTCTAAAACCTCCAAACTCCAAGCAAAGAGGAGAAAACTGTAGTTCTTGCTGTAGCTCCTGTTGTGTGGCCTCAGACAGTAGCTGATCCAGAAGCTAGTATATCTGGTGGACAGTATGGAATGACACCAGATTTCAACTACTCACGTCCATAAGTGACATATTCAACAGGCAGATTCATTGAGCACCAAAGCCCAACTTAATCAAGTCCTGCCTCATAAGTGTGTCTCTGGCGCAGAAGCTCTTTCATTATAGACAGAGTGGGTTCTCACAGCCAATTGGCCTGAAGGTTAGTTCCTCCCAGTAATACCAACAACAATCAAGACTTAACTACAACAAGGCTGTACACACAGTCCATAAAGTGGAGCATCAAGAGTGTCCACCACAGGTAACTGGGAGGCTGACCCACTGGACACTGAGCACACAAAGCCACCTTACGAACTCAGGGAAGCAGTGAAAATGCTGAGACAAAGAAACGGATCACAAATGAAAGAAAGGGAGAAAACAAATGATTGGATATACAGTTCAAAACCACAGTTATAAGGTTTTTCAAGAATTTCCTAGAAAAAGCTAGTAAATTCAATGAAAATTGAAAAGTGACCAACTAGAAATTAAACATACTCTGACTGAACTAAAAAATATTATATAGAGACACAAAATCAGACTAGAGAAATGCAAGAATCAACTCAAAGGTTTGAAATACAAAGAGGTGAAAAACACTCAACTGGGAAAGCAAAAAGAAAAAAGAATCCAGAAAGTTGAAGATAGTGTAAGAAGCCTCTGGGACAACTTCAAGTGTATCAAATTCAGAATTATGGGGGTGCCAGAAAAAAAGAGAGAGCAAGATACTGAGAACTATTTGAAGAAATAATTACTGAAAACTTCCCCCACCTGGTGAAAGAAATAGACTTACAAGTCCAGGAAATACACAGAACCTCAAACAAAAGAAGTCCAAAGAGGACCACACCAAGACACATTATAATTAATATGCCAAGGACAAAAGACAAAGAGAGAATATTAAAAACAATAAGAGAAAAACAGTTACCTACAAGGGAGTACCCATGCGAAAATTAGCTGATTTCTAAATAGAAACTATGGAGGCCAGAAGGGAGTGGCAAGAAATATTCAAAGTAATGAATAGCAGCAACCTACAACCAAGATTACTCTACCCAGCAAAGCTATCATTCAGAATTGAAGGTCAGTTAAAGAGCTTCATAGACAAGAAAAAGCTAAAGGAGTTTATCACCACCAAACCAGTATTATATGAAATGCTGAAAGATATTCATTAAGAAGAGGAAGAGGAAAAAAGTAATGATAAAAATTATGAACAACAAATACATATCTGTCAACAAGTGAATCTAAAAATCAAGTGAATAAAAAAAATCTGATGAACAGAATAAACTGGTAAATATAATAAAATCAGGGTTGTAGAAAGGAAGTGGATTGATAATTCTCAGGGGGAAAAAGGTGGCAGGGTGCAGGAAGAGACTGGAAAAAACTCGTACACCTAAGGATGAGGACAGTGGAGGAGAGGTAAGGGCAGAGTGTGGGGTGGGCACCGGGTGGAGGGGAGCTATGGAAGGAAAAAGGAAAAACAATTGTAATAATCCGAACAATAAAGATTTATCAAATTAAAAAAATAAAAATAATAAAAATGATGGCTCTCAAAGAAAGAAAAAGAAAAAGAAACGAGAGAGGAAAGTTGAAAATATTTATTTGAAGGATTATAGCCAGATTAGGAAATATTGGAAGATTTGAAAATAAGTTAAGATGAACAAGATGACAGGATCAGCTAATAACAGGTAGGTGATGTCAAAAGAAAATATACATTGGGAAAATTTAAAGAGGCAAGAAACACTTTATTGAAGATCATGTAATAGGGCAGTGAGACTGAGCTCAGCACCTTCAAAATAAAAGGCTGGGGAGATTTTAAGAATGGGAGCAGGAATCAGATGCATCTGTGCTTGCTATTTGGCTTTCCACAAAAGAAGAATAAAACTTCTCATGAAATTCTGACAGGAGGTCCTTTCACATCTTGGTTGTAAATGTCCTCACCCAAGTTAGGCTGCTTCCCTCCCTCAGAGACTGGGACAAAGGAGGATTAAATTTCAAAGGGATGGGCCCAGGCTCTTGAGACAAATATTCTATGGGACATAACACTGGCAAGAAGTTTTTAAGGAGACTTATGTATATGTCAAAAGGGCAGAGAAAAAAACTGCAAATTGTCATTAGATTTCTGAAGAAAATGTTCTAAAACAATGGAGGTCAGAGGGCTGCAGTCAGGAAGAACCCATCTAAACATAAGAGACTCTGAGGCAACATTAAGGCCCCCCAGGTCAGAACAAAACTGCTTTCTGCCCAATGGAGGAAAACACAATGAAATATCTTTCAGACAAGATCCAGTTTGCATCTTTATCCAGTTTGCTGCAATTTCTAAGCAGGTGAAAAATAGCTGAGAGTCTCTGAACAGAGCTAGGATCTGATCTCCCAGAAGGCTGTGCTTCTGGAGTTTTCTATGGAGACATTATATTTTCCTCTATAGTCACTTTCCCTTTGATCAAACAACATCTCTAAGGAAGAAGAATATTTTGATTCTATATCATGGTTGGTGTCACTTGATTGTCTGATGAGTGATCTAAGTGCAAAGGAACTGACATTCAAACATAGTTTGGTCTGAAGCAGGTATTTCTATAAAACCTAAGATGGGAGTTTTAACAACTCCTAAGGTTAGGAAGACTCACCCTCACACCATCTGCAGTCTCTCTAGCTTTGGGTAATGAACTCATCTCCAAGAGATTCCAAAATACCCCTCAGGTCAAACTTAGCTCAGGTCGTTTCTAATTCAAAGAATACCAGTCTGAACTAGGACATTTGAGCCAAAGCCTTGGTTGTATTACCAGCATTTCCAATTACATCCTATTAACAAGGAAGATAGTGTCCTACAGAACTTATGGAAATAGATCCACTGCCACAAAAATAAAAAATATTTAAGAAGTATTTAGGAATATTTTGGGAGAAGTAAAACAGGAAGAAAAAGATCAGTGTTGACACCCAAATGGGAGTCCTTCTGTACATTCTTATTGTCCAAAACAGTGTCCAGGTGCCCTCCACAGGATCCATTGGAGAAGGGGGCAGAGCTTGGATTCCTGGAATTTAATTCATGTTCCCACTGGTCATCACATAACCACTACCCGTTCTGGGAGGGACTCAGTGTCACCTTCACTGTGCAGATGGTGCAAATGGGACCAACCAGAGGTGGGATCTGGTGTGGCGTGTCAGTTTAAATCAACAATAAGCTCAATGCTACCTCTCATTTTTGAGCATTTATTGGCTCAGTTCAGGTTTTCTAAGTACTTTCCACCTTCACAACACATTTATTTCAAGGGTAAAAAGAATTTTTTCAGGGTTTAATAACATAGAGGAGGAAAGTAGGGTAACTAATAGTTTACTTGCAGCTCAATCGCTGCACTCTCAACAGAGCTGACAGGGTTGGATACTTCACACTGGTAGAACCCAGCATCCTCCATCCTGACAGGGTTTATGGTGAGGGTTCTGTTGTTCCAGGACAGCTTCATCCTCTCCCTGAGCCGCAGACTCTCAGCATCTAACAACCATTTAATGGAAGGCGCATTTGTGTAGCAGGTCATAACCACGGCGTCCTTATTCGCTGTGGCTGTGGTGATGCTGGCTAAGAGTGTGGGCACTCTCACTGGCTCTGTGGAGAAACAGAGGGTGTGAATGATTGAGTTTGGGCTTGGGACCTGGGGGCATGCTCCTTTCTCAAAGATCTCAGCCACTTAGAATCCATGGTGATCTCTGTAAATGTTACCGTAGGCTTGTCTAGATCTCTGCAGAAAAATTATCTTTGCTCAGGTGACAATATGTAAGGAAAAGGGATGGCATCCCCTCCTCTTTGACCCAGATCACCTCAGGGTGACTCCTGACCTGTTCCTACAGACAGCAACATAGTATTGGCACAGGGAACCCTTTTGCAGAACTTGTGTTCTATAATCTCATCAGTTGGAATTCCCCAACTCATGAGCTTTTATTGTCCCTTTTCTAGAACTATTTTTATTTCAAAAAATATGAGGTCCCACTCTTTATGTAAAATTCCATATATGTTGTAAAAGACAGGTCTACCACATCTGTCTATCTCTGGGGCCAAGGCAACTTTACAGAAAGTGAAAAGGCAAATTTACCTTTTGTTAAATAATTTACTAGGCAATAAAGATGGCCCAACCTGTTTCATCACCTTGGACCAGAAGTTCCACCTGAAGGATTCTTCAGTCTGAACAGAAACTATATTTCCTGGTCTGATGATTGACTATCATAGTGAAATAAATTTTGGAGGGATGTCATGATGTTTGCAACAAAAGCCAAGAGGATAGGAATAGAATGAAACTTCTCAGTATGATAAAGACCATTCATGAAAGTCTCAATCCCAACCTGGGACATGAGGCAGAGGGGGATGGAAGAGAGTCTGGGGCGGGCAGTCTTGTGTGAGAAGTAGAGTTCACCCCACCTGACACCCAGAGGTCAGAGAGCAATCACTCACGGTATACGTTCAGCCGTCCAAATCCTATTTCCTTTTTTAAATTGGGAAGGTAGACAACCACAGTGTACATTCCTGCATCTTTCGGAGTAACCTTCTTTATCAGCAACCATCCTTCTTTGTTCATTGTCTCTCGACCAGTGTACTTAGGCCCTCTTTCAGTGTTGTTTAAGGCCGGTGAAAAAAATAAAATAAAGCGACTGGTTACCGCCCCTTCACCCTGGTACCAAACATAACTTGAAGCTTCAGGAGGGTTATTACGGATACGTAGAATCACATTGTCCCCTTCAGCAGCATTGGTAGACACAATCGCAAGTTGGGCAGTGGTGGGCCGGCTCCAAAAAATAAAGAGTAGGACTAGGAGGGAAGAGAGAAACTGATCAATATTTGCATCTATGTATTGGGGTGGAGAGATGAGGCCCTGGATCTTGAGCACATCTCTCTATCTCTCAGCCTTGGTGTGTGTGTCTGTGTGTGTGACTCCTGTGGTTAAGGTCAATAGCAAGGCCACCATTATGTCTGACACTGTTCTTTTCCCTTTTTTCAAATACTCTTCCTGTCTGGCTCTGGTATCTGTCTGGCTCTCCCCCTCACTGCTCACATACTCCTATAGACACTCAGGGGCATCTTTGGGAGAAACCTTTGCTGACCACCTCCTGTACAGACCCTCTGCTTTCACTGTCTCACCTGTCCCTGTTCTGTTCCCTTCATGAAAACTGTGGGTACCTGGCATCACATCCAGATCTTTCCTTGACTGTCTCATCCAGATAGACCATACAAGCAGGAACTTGTCTGATCCTGCACCCCCAATGCCCACATCAGGTCACCATTCCCAGGGTTTTTCACCTCCTGGAGTATATGTGCCCATTTCTGAGGTTGATGGTAAGATTTTTCTCCTGTTGCCTGACATAAATTATTATCATCAGTTGTTAAAATTCATTATTCAATGACTAACACCTTAGGAAAAGAATAGCCATTGAGGTTTTCCTGCCCCACAACATTTTTTGCTTCTGAACCCTCTTTCCCATTTGACTCTGCATCCATGTCCTCTCCCCTCAGGTCCAAATAGAAGCCCTCCCTTCATTCTCAGAGTGCCATGCTTCCTAGGAGATCCCAGCCAGTCTCTGTCTCCCATCCTCTGGGGTCCACACCCAGGGACTGTCTGCTCCTTACCAGCCAGCAGGATCCCCTGCCTGGAAACAAGTCCTCTGCATGCAAGGGCTGAGGGAGACTCCATGGTGCCTGCTATCTGCTCTGCCCCTCACTCTGTGAGGAGAACTTGAGGTCCAGTAAAGCTCACAGACACTGCTACCCGGACTAGTAGAATCTGCTATGCCTACTAAGCATGCACTGAGTCTCCTCCTGAGACAAGAGCACTTTTCTAGTCATGTAGTTGGGGCGGGGCCTGTGCCCAGGACCCTCCTCTCATTTTTTCCAACTCTGTATCCCCCTTCCAGTTTACCCTTAAATTATTTTGGTTCCTTGGAAACTGCTGAAGCCTCTGACAACACACACACACACACACACACACACACACACACACACAAAAAACAAAACAAACAAAAAAAACACACCCCAAAACCCCCTAAGAACAACAACAACAACAACAACAACAAAGAAACAAACAAAAAAACACACACACAAAAAACTGTGTTTAGAGAAACCCTAGCCTGGGGCATCCTATTCCAGTCATTCTCCAGCTTCCTGTCAGTTGCACAGTAGCCTGCCCCACAGCCTTCCAGCCTTCCCTCTTTCGTATGGTATTTTGCTTTTCTCTTCAGAGCGAGAGTTTTGGGGATACCTCAAAAAAACTTGACACATGAATGTCACACCAGCTGTACATCAGATCACCTTTGTTTCTGAGAATAAATAATGTGAGTTGGACAGAAAGGAATTGACAGAACTACTTCATCCATGAAGACAGAAGAGAAGCAATTCAGAGATGGAAGACTCTGACTACGCCTTGCCATAATAGCAGTCAGAAGCTGTGTATAGATCAGCACAAGAAAGGGTCCCAGAAGGGCCTGTTGAAGCAGGGATGGAAATCAGGCTCCTTCTTTACTTCCTTAGGTAAAGCCAGGTTTCTATGTTGTCGGTATCTCAATGTCACCCCTTATAGAGCAAGGGGGGGCCTGCAGCCAAGGTTAGGTGTTGCACCAGGAATAATGTCCAGGCTCCAGCGAATGGGAAGTGACCCTGAGCCCTGGGCAGACATGAGCCCTGATCTCCAGGCTGACAGATCAGTCAGGCGGGGCCCTTTCCCTGTGTATCCCTGGTTCAGAAAGAACACAGAACACAGACATTTTCCACAGTGCTATGAGTCCATTGTCAGGAACATTGTCCTCCCTGGTGTGGTGTTTCAGGAGGAACTCTCCCTTTCTGAATTACACAGCAAGAACTTGGTGAGGGTTCTCCTGAGTTAGCATGCCAGGCTGAAATGCTGATCTCCAAATTGCCCTGTCTGTTACTCATCAAATCCAAGTCACCTGTGTCCCTATCTTTTATCTGCTCTAGGCCTCCCTACAGGGCCTAGGATCTAGAGAGGCTCCACATGTGATACCTTAGAAAGATATTGGGTCTAGTTTCCTCCTTCTCAGAACAGAGCAACTAAAAGTCTTGGAATTTTATGAGCAATAAAGGTAATAAGAGTATCTTTTGTCACATCAAGCCACTCTTGGTTGGCCTTTGGATAGCTGCAGGATGAGGGCTGCAGGGAGGTCTTCCTGCAGTACAGATCAAGTCTTGACTGGAATTTTGATTTGTCAGTGTTAAGAAACCCATAGTGAAGTTTTGTGAGTGTGGGTCAAAGGAGGACAATTGCCCGGAAGCCAAATCTCAATGGACTAAGAAAATACTCCAGAGAATGGCAATTTGGGACCTTTTTTTTTTTTTATATATATTTCAGTCAAAGCAGGAGGCATAAGGGGTTACATGAAATCCATTCATGATAGTCAAGGAGGCTGAAGAAAGCAAAGCAAGGAACTCTGTGAGATTGGATGAAAACTAAAACAAATAGACACATACTTTTTTTTTAATTTTTTTTTTAAAAACAACAATAGTTGGTCCAGGATAGATTGCAGTTAACATAAACATAATAGCAATACCAATGAGGACTTTTATTGTCTCTCTGCAGTGTGGGGTACAGAGAAATGGAAATGATTCTGATGTGCCTTTGACCAGGAGTTGAATCCATGACCCTTCAGGCTGACGATCTAATCATTAACCACAGAAGCCAGGGTAGGATGCTGTAACTTTATGGTTTATTTGAAACACAAAACTATAAATTGTATTTACCGTCTACAAATTCCAGAAGCCAGCAGTATAGTAGGAGTTTTGAAAGTAAATTCACTGTGCCTTAGCTGCAGTTATAGAGTCATGTTTTTATAGCTACTTCAGCTTACATTTGAATTAGGTTCTTGCATTTACACATAAAATTCCAAAAGTGTGTTATTATAGATGCAAAAATATAGACAGGCTCAGTTAAAGTAAAGATTGACCTTTGCCAGAGAAGAGAATGGCTAGGACTTGACTACCCAGCATGACTCATTTTCATTAGAAAGTTTTCATTTCAGACCATCCATGTGTTTATTTAAAGTCTCTGAGTTTGTAAATCCCAATATGCAGGCCAACCGAGTTTCAGATTTAGTATGTGATCCTGTTTTTGTTCTCACTTTGGTGAGAATTTAAATAATTCATTGATGACCAACCTCTGGTTAGATGATATGGTCCAACTGTACTAAGCAGGCTTTTTCCTAAGAAGTTTTAGTGTCAGTGTCTATCTTATTGAATGATGGACCTTTGGGGATGGGCCAAGTCCATAACTTTGGATGGAAATTAAGGCCAAGTTTTCTCAAAAGTGAAAGGTAGGTAATTGGAGGGGAGCAGTCAGGTCTCATAGCCTTCATTAAAAAAAAAAAACATTCTGGGTCATTTTAACCAATAAGCTATCATCTTCCAAGCTTTGCTGTCTGTCTCACTTCTCTGCATTTTCCATCCAGTGTAACATTTACATATAGTTTGAGGACACATTATATACCTCTTCAGTTTTTACCATCTGACCTTGAGATGAGTTCTCATCTACTACCCAGTGGAAACACTCAACTGTCATTTATTATTAATCTGATTCCCAGTAGTTATGCAATTGGAAGATGTAACTTTAATTATTTTTTAATTCTCACCTGAGGATATTTTTCCCATTGCTTTCTTTAAAGAGAGTAGAAGGAGTGCAGAGAGTGGAAGAGTTAGATAGAGAGACCAAGAGAGAGATAGTCATGAATGTAAAAAAACACACATTCATGGGTTGCCTCCTGCATGAGCCCAGACTGCAAACAAGGTACATCCCTGGGGAGGAACGGACCCACATGCTAACCTGACAAGCTCAGGGGAGGCCTGCATGACATTCTTGCAAACTCAGAGACCTAAAATAACCAGAAAAGAAGGTATGAAAATTAAATATTTAACTACAAACAGGTTATAGTGGGTAGTCAGGTCCTAGGCAGATATTTTCCCTGACAAAGATCAATTTAGATCTTCTTTACTGAGCCCATTTGCCTTTTTGCCTCTAGGATAACATATTAATATCTGTGAGATGTCTGTGTAACTTGTAATCCTTTTTTACCCTGGATCCCTCAGGGCATAACAAGTGGCATCATGACATTCCCTCATTGTTATTGTTATCAAGTTAATTGTCAACTGTTAATTACTTTAAAGTATCTTGTATCTATCTCTGTAAAAGAAGCACCTGTCCATTCCAGAGGTTTCCTCCCCTTCCCTGCTTTGCTTTATCCCACCTCCTTAATCTGTCACCAATGAATTTCATGTAACTCACCTATGTCCCTTTCTTCTGATTGCAATGTATAAATAAAGATGTAACCCTCCATTCTCTGGAGCATTATATCAATTCATTCAGGTTCTGCTTCCAGGCATATGTCAACAGTTTGGCTCAAATAAATTCACAAACATTCTTTACAGGATTCAATGTGTTTGTGTGTGTGTGTGTGTGTGTGTGTGTGTGTGTGTGTGTGTGTGTGTTTTGTTGTTGTTGTTGTTTTGTTTTTGTTTTTTGTTTGTTTGTTTGTTGTTGTTGACAGGAGGCAGAAAAATTGGAGACCTTTATTTGGAAAGTTT